GTTCCTACTTTAGTATATCTCTCTCTCTCTCTCTCTCTTCTTGTTTTCCGTTTTCGTTTTGTTTTCTATTGAGGTCTCTCTCTCTCTCTCTCTCTCTCTCTCTCTCAATGGGGATCATTTTCTTTTGGTCTCTTTCAGCTCTTGCTTTCTCTATCTCTCTCTCAATGGGGATCATTTTCTTTTGGTCTGTTTTTGGCTCTTGCTGTCTCTGCATGTCGTTATTTCGATATGATATCGTTTGGATCTCTTCTTTTTCTGAATCCTGTTATCCTGATCGATTCTTGTTGTGGTCTCTCTCTCTTTTTGTGTGCCACTTCTTGATTTTCCCATGTGTTTGTGTGTGTTTCTCTCTCTCTCTCTGCTTTGTTTCCTGTGTTGGTTGTGTTCAATTAACTGTTCTTTCTTATGGTTTTTATTGCCTCAGTTCGTTTAATCTAGACTTTCTGGCTTTTCTTGATTTTGGATGTAGTAGTTGGGCTTTCATTGAAGAAGGACAATTTTTTAGGAGATTGGATTTATAGGGTTTTAGTGAAGGTGTAATCATAGTATTTCTATGGAGAATAATGTGATTCTTGAGAGATGTGAATGTGGTTAATTGTTTAATGTTTTCTCATTGCTTCTTAGATGTGACCATGGATTTTACCCAGTGCAAAATTGCCACATGCTTCACACTTGGAGCTATTGTAGATTTGCATCTGTTAGGGCTGAGTTAAATTTGCAGTTTATTAGCTCATAGAAATGATATTGTGAAAATTGTCTATATTTTTATTCAATAATTATTCTTATGCACTCACACTCACAATATTTTTATTCAATAATTATTTTTATGCACTCACTGAATTTTTTAAAAGATAAGCATAATCTCATTATTACAATTCCAAGATTGTTACCCTGCGATGTGTCGATGCCGAATGTTCCTATGAATAATCTTTTAGTTGTTTATTTATTTATGTTTCAAATTTATTTATAACTATGACATCATGAATAAATGATGCATGTTTGGAATGATGTTCTACCTCTTTGTTTTGGATTTTTTTTTCTCTTCTACCAGTTGTAGACCTTTCTAACATGGGAGGGTATCCAGGAAGTAATCAGAGGAATCACCCATCGAAACGCTTTGCATTTTCATTGGAAGTTTGGCAACCCTAGCATCGATCAAATGATTATTTTGGAGTTGGCTTTCTGAATCATACCAATATATTTTTTAGTACGAGGGTAGTGGTGTCAATTCGGATTATAGTAATTTGGAGGCATGTTTCTTTTATGTTATGGAAAATAAAATTACGAGCTCTATGGAAATCTATGGCAGAGGTATCTTGTTTCCAGAGCGTGTTTTGGGTTGCACATCAGCTAGAGAACTTTGTATCACCATTCGCTTGGTTTCGGGTCGTGCATCAGTCAGAAAAGTTTTCATCTAGGAGTTCTTTTATGCAAATTATTTTTGTTTCTCCTTTATGTACTCTCTTCCTTTTTATATTTGAAGTATCTCTTTTATATATTTGTAACTATATTGACTTCTGAAAAGAAAAAAATGCATAAAGAATCTTTCATTGCTTTGTGGATTAGCTGCTTTCCTATACCCAGTTTAAACAGTTGATGTAATGATTTAATTGGTATATGCAACTATGGTTTCTATGTATTTGCTAGTTCGAAGTTCAGTATTTTTGCTAGATACACATATCTATCATGTGTAGGTATTAAATATGTAACTATTTATCGATTTACTTGATAGATATCTAATTGCTCACCGAATATTTTCCTTGATTGTTATTATCTATTAATCTCTGATGCAAAATTTAACAATTAGTTAAATTTGCAATTTTGACGTTAATTAATGAAATTTTCTCAAGCATTCTCTTATTCTGTGCATGGACAACTATAGGAATCCTTGGAAGCCCATGATGGAGCAAGCAAAGGGAAATACACTATTGGACTTGGGCAGGATTGCATGGCTTTCTGTACAGAGTTGGAAGATGTTATTTCCATGAGGTCTTAGAACTGTACTTCATGCTCTGCTTTCTTTTCATTTATGGGGGATGTGTGTTTATCGTATGCTTTATATGCTGATTGGCTTATTTGCTTATGACTTATTTCCAAATTTGTTAGATGAAAATTTTATTGAGTATATCCGCATTATTATGATTTAAAAGAAGGGCATGGTCAGATCAGAAGAAAGCATGGCTTTACTATCTGCATGAGCCTTCCTCTTAAATAATTATTTCCAAAGCTGGCATTGAGGGCATCATGTGATGTAATTCTCTAATATATGTTTTCAAGTATTCTTGAAGAAATAGGTGAAGAAATATGTGCACACCTGGGCTGGCCATTGTTCTAAGGCCCCTGAATTTCTGAAGTCTGATACCCTATTGAGCTCTATTGCAATTTATTGTTCTACTTTTAACAGTCTAACTTGGGTTTGACCATATTTCTTGGGTCTGTGATGACTAACTGATGTCTTTACTTAGCTGGAGCTCTGTTGCTTATTTTATATTTGAAGTGTTTGTTTATAGTTTGATTTATTTCCTTTGGAAAGATCCTAAATGTCGATTGGATGCTATCTATTTTGGGACTTTCTAAGTGGGGCAGTACTCAATTTTTTGACCTTACTGGTGATATTTGAATTAGTTTGATTATTTTGATGGCATTCTTGTGTTTAGGTCACCATATCTATCTTTTTTATAGAGTGTCTCACCACACTGAAATTTGTCTGATATATATGGCAAGCTTTTCTGTTATTTTAAGTTTGGCCTTGTTTCATGCACTAATAGAAAGGAGAAAGGATAATGTGTTTATGACCATTATCTTCTTGAATGAAATGAAAAATTAGTAGCATTTATCTGGCTACAACAATGATTTGATTACTGATGCAATTATATTTCAGTATGACAGTTGTGTCATCCCTTCTAGAGAAATACCAAATTGATCGAAAACAAATTGGTCGCCTAGAAGTAGGCAGTGAGACTGTTATTGACAAGAGCAAGTCCATAAAGACATGGCTGATGGATCTCTTTGAGGTCACCTCTCCTTCCCTCCCCCCCCCCCTTTAGCTCTCTCTCTCTCTCTCTCTCTCTCTCTCTCTTTTCTGATAAATGGGGTATTGTGTTCTTGTTTTCTATTTGTCAGGATTGTGGCAATACAGATATTGAAGGAGTTGATTCTACAAATGCATGCTATGGAGGAACTGCAGCATTATTGAATTGTGTAAATTGGGTGGAGAGTAACTCTTGGGATGGGCGGTATGGCCTTGTTGTATGCACAGATAGTGCGGTATGATCACTTCCCTTTGTCGAATTCAATATTTATCATAACTATTCTGCCATGTAATCTGGATTTGTGTGTGCACTGATGAGAGGTGGAATTGGTCAAAATGAATGAAGTTTTTGGTTACACGGGCATATAAACCTTGGATGGGGTGTCACTGAAAAGATCACCAAAGTGGCTATTTGTCAAATGTTGAGTTAGTTAAAGAGCTAATGATATGTCTGCTTGTTAAGATTACCTATGCAACTTGCCTATAATCATGGAGAAACATGACTACGGTATATAGTGCAATGATTGTGTCTTTTACTTTATCAAGGAGCCATGATGACTCTCCACTTATAAATGCAGGTTATGTTATGTGGTACTAATTTTGCATAAAAGGCTTTGCACTACCATTCACTTACTCTGTTTTGATCATAACGCTTGAAAGCGTTTACATGCAGATAAGTTGTGTGAGCCAGGGTGACAAAACTTGAGGCATTTGGAGTTTCCATATAGTCATGTAAAATTAGATGGAAGTTAATGCATGGCATATTGATAGTTAGTAATATTTAAAAGGAGGAAAAAAAAGTGTGTATTGCTTGATCTTACATTGTTTAGAAGCCTTTTTGGTTGAATGAGATACAATTACATGCAACACATGTAGTTCGCTTCCCTTCTGTTGTCTTCCATACTTGTGTTCATTTCTGTGTTGGTGATTATCTCCTTTTCGTTTCTCATAATGAGATTTGTGTTCACCAATGTCTTCATATGTTTTAGGTTTATGCTGAAGGACCAGCACGACCTACAGGAGGAGCTGCCGCTGTGGCGATGTTGATTGGACCAAATGCACCGATTGCTTTTGAAAGCAAATATAGAGGGAGCCATATGTCTCATGTTTATGATTTTTACAAGCCTAATCTTGCAAGCGAGTATCCAGTAATACTTTGTCCCTTTCTTGGATTCGTTTTAGGTTCATCATATTATTTAGTTTGGTGTTTTTGTCATGCTATTTATTTTGGTGTTAGTGCTTGTGGGAATTGCAAGTCCTAGTGCATGTGGATGATGATTTTCCAAATTTTCTCCATTCTGTGGCTTGTTCTCCTCTCTCTCTTGTTTTTTAATGTTAAAATTGTGGAGATTGTTTTACCTTTGTCTTCTTTGTTGTACCTTTTACTTGAATTAGAGTTCTAGGTGTCTTAAAATATGAAGATGTTGGGACTCTTGGATTTTATGTGACAGTTTGTTTTATTCTTTCTAGGAAACCCTGTATTTGCTTGTTTTTCTTTCTAATATACGGATCATTTTTTATTATTTAGAAATGAATCATTTCTTGGTAATTTGTGCTTCTAGAAGCAATAGTATGGTTTATAATGGTATTCTTCACACTTATATGGATTATGGATGCTTTGTGAGATGTAGTTTCGTAATGGCCTTGTTATCATTTTGTAGAACCAGTGATGGTTGTTGACTATTTGTATTGAAATTGTTTGTTTTGAAGGTTGTTGATGGGAAGCTTTCGCAGACTTGCTATCTCATGGCACTTGACTCTTGTTATAAGCGATATTGTAGTAAGTAAGTTGGAATCATTGAAGTGTTGATCTTTTCTGTTAATATTCTGACTTGAGTATTACGTATATTCAGGATGGTAAAGATGGTTAAGATCCTAATGGTTCTTAAAACAATTGTATAGATGTTATATTTGTCTCCTCTGGGTTGCGCTGTAATAAGAAATTGTATAGGAAGCTAAACTTCAAAAGCTAATGAGAAAATAAATGGTCATAGATTTGGTTGTAACATTTTTGCAAACTGATCTTAAAGATGGTGTTCATGTCAATTATTCTCTCGTATAAAATTTTAAAGACAGTGTTTAGGAAAAGGCTAGAGATGAAAAAGCAACCCAAAGCACTATGTCAGGGGGATAAAGCACCAAATAATATGAAAGAATGAAACAGTTTGTCCAGATTCTCTGTCAACTCTAGTAAAGAATCTCCTTGGCCAACTGAATTTGATATATTTACTGTATTATCCATTTATGTTTTCATTGTGCAACTTTTCTCAGGTTTGAGGATTTGGAGGGAAAGCAATTTTCAATTCTTGATGCTGATTATGTTGCATTTCATTCTCCATATAATAAGGTATGACTGGATAAGGCACAGTTTTTAATTCAAAATTTTTTTTAATAAATTTTTTTTACTTCAACTGTTTGATTAAATGATATGTTTTTAATTGTCTCATACTTTGATTGTGCAGCTTGTCCAGAAGAGCTTCGCCCGCCTTTATTTCAACGATTTTTTGAGGAATGGCAGGTTTCTACCTGTCTTATGTAGTCCATATGATGTTTCCTTCGTGTTTCTCAATATCTGTTTGTGTGTTCTCTCATCCACATTCATGTGCACTTGGGCCTGCACCAACTTTTAGGGCTTGTGTATAGTTAGAAAGCACAAAATGTTAACATTTCCTTTAGCGGTCAGGGGAATCCAAATCTTTTTGGCTAAGATTGTGATGAATACATCCATCCTCTAGGGCTATGTATGTTACATCCAATATGAATGTTAGACTAAGAAAGTGTAGGAAAATTTTAATTGAGTACTAGAAGCATCACTGGTAGAATTATGCTCATATTGAGGGAAATTGGTACTGATAGTGTCTCTAATATCGTATGTAGGGGAAACTATCATGTGAAGTATGTATCATAAGATCATTAATGTTATCTAGTTAAATAGTTATTCTGTTGACTTATACTATTTCCTTTTGTTTCCTATTTGTAAGCTCTATCAATAAAGACGTGTATGAAAAATTGGGGCCATTCTCAACCTTGTCTAGTGAAGAAAGCTATCAGAGCCGGGATCTTGAGAAGGTCAATTAAGCCTTGCTATCGATATGAATTTGGCTGTTCTTTATTCAAGAGTCATTTTTATTGCTTTCCTTGCAGCTTTGTATATGCACCTTTATTGTTTTATGGTTATTGTTGATACAAGATAGACAATCAATAAAAGTAGCTCGTAATAGGAAATTGGAACAACACGAGAGAGGGGTCCAATCCCCATCACCACTCTAAATCACTTATACAAGGACTAATCCCCTCTAAAATGATGTCTCATCAAAAGCTACCTTCCCCCTATTCACATTATTGTCCATGTTCCTCCCATCTCTCATGCATCTCAATGCAAGGGAGAGGTAGGGAGGGGCAGCAAGAGAGATGTGTATTTGGATTCTGAAATCGATACTTATTAACACAATAGCTGCTTGGTTGTTTATTTGGATTTATAGGTGACCCAACAAGTCGCAAAGCCCCAGTACGATGTGAAAGTGCAGCCGTCGACACTGCTACCAAAACAAGTGGGCAACATGTACACGGCATCCCTTTATGCGGCATTTGCATCAATTGTTCATAATAAACATGAATCCTTGGTATTTCTCCCTGGTTGTTCTTTTTCATGTGTTCTGGTTTGCAATATTGGCACCATGCAATTCCCTGATGAACATTCCCTTTCACTGAATGTGATCAAAAGTAAAATTTGATTTATTTTGATTTGCAGGTGGGTCAACGCGTATTGATGTTCTCCTATGGAAGTGGTTTGTCTTCCACAATGTTTTCATTCAGAATGCGTGAGGGTCAGCATCCTTTTAGCATATCAAATATTGCAAGTGTGCTCAACGTATCTGGAAAGCTGGAATCTAGACAAGTGGTATTGTACTTCTTGCTTTGCTTTTTGCTGTTAAACTATCTTATAAGGCCTGAGTTGTGGTTCAAATCGTTCATTAGAACTAATCATATGCCATTTGTTTGGCAACATGAATTTTCTACCCTTTTGATTTTGTGTTGACTGAGCATTTGATATTTACGATGTCCCTGCCGAGTCATCTGGAGTCCTATGTTGAGATGTTCTTGGAAGCTTGAAACTGGTAGTAATGTGCCATCATCCTTTGTCACTGCATCTGAATCTTCTGCAGCCTCAATAATGTCCTGGGGTCCCAAACATGAGATGAGTTCTTTTGTTTTTTCTGAATGATTAATTTGCATAATGGTTTTCCCAACATATTAAAGAACTTAAAGAACAAAATTCAGAATTTTTGGAGTAATTTAACATGACACATATTTTATGTCGCAATATTCCAGCCAGGTTAGGGTACCTTCTCATACTAATTTGTTCAGCTGATTTATGTATAAATTTTCATCCTAAGAGTACGAATTATGTATCTATAAACTCCCCCATGTTAAAAACTTGCAATTTAACTTCTAGATCAAAATGCAACCCTGCATAAACTTATGCATCAGTTGGACAAGTTATACCTACGCATAAACTCCCGTCTGCAAACTTGCAATTATCTTATTCTCAACTGATCTCAATTTACATATTTTCTTTATCCTAGTTACCGATAAAGAAACCTCTCCAGAAAACTGGACGTGCATGAGAGGTACTTATAAAATGTGCTTATCTTTTGCAGTTCTCGCCTGAGAAATTTGTCGAGATCATGAATCTTATGGAGCACAGGTATGGGGCTAAGGGGTTTGTCACAAGTGAGGATAGGAGCTTGCTGAGCCCAGAAACGTATTATCTGAAGGAGGTGGACGCTCTGTACCGAAGATACTATGCCAAGAAGGTTGGGGATGATGGTGCGAGCAATGGTGTGCTTGTCAATGGGTCCTGACGTGGCAATTCTCAAGAAACCAGTGGTAGTTAAGAAACCAGTGGTAGTTGGTGGAAATAGGTTTAGCTTTTTTTTAGAGATGTATTTCCTTACACCATATCTTCTGTTCTTTTCTTGGGGTGGCTGCAGAAAATGTGTTCTTGAGCAGCATTTGTTGTGGGAAACTGTGGTTTATTCCTCTACATACTTTTTGCAGCCCCCTGATCTCTTTATCGGTAGCATGCAATCTCTTACCGATCCGTAAATGTTTTTCAGATAATTGGTTTTGGTTGTGAGAAAGGTCCTGGACCCGAGATTTAAATGAGGCATAATCCTCTAACCTCACTCAAAAGAATTTGCAACAGTGTCTCAGAGAGAGAGAGAGAGAGAGAGAGGGTACCAAACATGCTGAGAGTATAGTGTGTGCCATGCCAAAAGAGTTTTGAGAGTATACCACACACTTGGGGTATGAGAGAGAGAGTGAGTGCACCAAACATGCTGAGAGAGTGCATGCCACAGTATTACCAAACATGCTGAGAGAGTGTAGTGTGTGCCATGGCAAAAGAGTTAAAGAGTATACCACATTTGGGATATGAGAGATGTCTACAAAAGTCTCCAAATTCTAAATATATAAGAAAGGATTCGTATATTATGAGATTATTTATTTTTGGTACAAAGTCGTAATTATTTGTAGCCGTGAAATCTAGTAGATGAAATTGTGTTCTTACATTTAAAAAATTTTGTTTTGAACTTTGTGTCCATGAACGACGTGGTTTTGTATCAAAAGTAAATGGTTTTGGTCTTGGGAGTTTGAATTGAGCATCTAAGGTTATTTTGTCATATATTATAAAATAATTGAAAATGCCATACTACCTAGTTATATATTATATGAGAGGATTACCCTGTTAATTCTTTGACGTGTTTCACTATATTAATAACTATTTATTCTCTCTCCCCCGCATCTATGAGAGGACTGCCTGGCTTATTTTTTTGCCACGTTTTGTTTTATTCGTAACCATCTCTTTTCTCTTTTCCCCACATCTCTCCTCTATATTAATCTATCTTTTCTGTCCTTTCATATTAATCTCTCCCTTGTCTCTTCTCTCCCCATACGAACATTCTATCTCTCTCTCTTAATTTCTTTTAATCGACTTTTTTCTGAATCTCCCTCTTCCGTTTAATCTATCTTTTCTGTCCTTTCATATTATTCTCTTCCTTGTCTCTTCTCTCCCCATACGAACTCTCTATTTTTGTCTCTCTTAATTTCTTATAATCGACTTTTTTCTGAATCTCCCTCTTCCGTTTAAGACATAAATATAGGTAATTTGTTTTTAGTGTAATGTTTTTATGTAATTCTTTTCGTTCTACATGCATAAAAAGGCATATATATATGTAACATTTTTTTTAGTTAAATATAGGTAACTCTTTTTTTAGCATGATGTTTTTATGTAACTCTTTTCTTCCTACATGCATAAAAAGATATAAATATATATAGGGTGCGGTTTGTATGGAGCTTAGGCTTTAAACAATCAAATTGGAGCCTACCTTCAAATAGTGTCGAGAAATATGGTTTCAATACTGAAAATCTTTGTGATAGCTTTAAAATATATTTTCATCTTTATTTATAAAGTTTAAAGCTTAAAAAATAGTGTAGATCAATAGATCTATGAAAACTTAAAAATCTTAAAACTTGATGGTTACAAAATACATTATTTTCAAAACTTGAAATCCTTTGTTTTTTTCATGTCTATACATCTTGATATCGAGATGATCAATTTGATGATATTTGAGCATCAAAACAACTTCTTGTAGTAAAATTTTTGAGGTAAGCTTAAATTTGATTGTTTAGAGCCTCAACTCTATATAAACTTTTCCCACTTATGTAACTCTTTTTTTTAGTGTAATGTTTGAATGTAACTCTTTTTTGTAGTGTGATATCTATACTTCCCACTTTTTCTTTCCATATCTATTTAATTTACTCTCTACCTCCCACATTTTACTCTCCCTTGTACTTTCTCTTTCTTTCTATGTAACAAATCATTAATGTGTGTCTACCTCCCACGTTTTCTCTCCCCCTCTCACCTTTCTCTCTCCTTTCTCACTCATCTTTTCTTTTTAAATCTCTCTCTCTCTCTCTCTCTCTCGATATCTCCCTCTTTATCGGTCTTTGGGCACCTTGGTTTTTTTGAAAGATATCTATGTTATGATTTGAAATGTTTAAATAACTTATGGGTATTGTGTTTGATAACCTGCTGTGTTTGATAACCTGTTTGAATGTTAAGAAAGTTTTGAGTGTGTTTGATAATATATATATATTAACCATATAAATATAAATATATAACATATGTAACATAATATAATATATTTTATTAATGTTATATTAGTATTATATATGACATATAATATAATATTTATTATAATATAATAATTATATTATTTATAATATAATAAATATTATAATATTATGAGAAATGATCCTATAGGACCCTCATCCACCCATATGTATAGGACCTTAAAGGATCACCATTAAATTCGGTACGGATCTTTAGAAAAGTCAAGTCCC